CTTTCTTGTCTTCTTAATGACCTTTTGCTTTCTTCGGGTAGGATATCCTTGACATCATCCCACAACTCTTCAGGTATTCCATCGTAATTTGTCTAATTCATCAAATCTGCTCTTGAGATGATTTCTAAATTCAGGTGGGATTATGTTCAAGGTCATATTTTGCCACTCATGAAATTTTAATATTCTTCAGATTCCACCTGAACTTGTATATGAGCAATTGGTGGTCTGTTCCTGGCCTTGTTTTGGTTGGTGATATGGAGGAGTCCTGGTGTGGCGCTGTGGGTTAATGCGCCAGACTGCAAAGCCATTTGAACTGCAAGGTTGGCGGTTCAAGATCACTAGCCGCTTCTTGGAAACCCTATATAGGGTCGCTATGGGTCGGGATCGAATCGATGGCACTTAACAACAACAATGGAGGTTTTCACGGTGTCTTTTCACAAATATAATCAATTTGATTTTTGTGTATTCCATCTGATGAGATTTATGTGTACAGTTATCTTTTATGTTTTTTTCTTTTTAAAAAGGTATTTGCAATGAACAAGTCATTGGTCTTGCAAAATTCTATCATGTGATCTTCAGCATCATTTCTCTGACCCTTGCTCTGTTTCAACCTTTGCATTCCAATCACGATTATGAATACATCTTGAATGCATGTTTGATCTATTTAAAGACTATAGAAGTTGGTAGAATTCTTTAATTTCATCATCACTGGCTTTAGTGATTGGTGTGTAAATTTGAGTAATAGTTGTATTAGTTGGTCTTCCTGCTAAGTGTATGGATATAATCCTATCACAGGCAGTGTTGTACTTCTAGGTATACCTTGGGATTTTCTTTTTGATGAATATCTCACAGTCAGCCGCCAGATTCTTGAAACCACCAGCTGTTCCTCTTCAACAGTAAGCCATGTGATTTTGTTTCAAAATAGCCAGTCCATTGCAGCACAGAAATGCCTATGTGTCCCATTTCTTTTCAGACAGCATTCAATTTTCCTAGATGAGAACTTCCTCCATTTCATGTTGATTATTACTAGATGTTTACAACTGTTTCTCCTCATTTTCAGTTGTGCCTCTCCAACAAATGGAGGCCATGCATTACAGTCAAGTCAATTTAGAGAAGTCAGCTCTTCCCATCATATTTTGCCTTTCAACCAGAGGGTTCATCTTCTAGCACATATGACACTATTCTGGCACTCTTCATCATGTTTCAATAGGCAATATTCTGATGCTACTATTCAGTAGGCTTTAAATATTTGGAAGTATTTCATCTTACTTCTTCCTAGTCTAACTTACGTCTGGAAGCTCTGCTGAAATCTGTCCTTCATGGGTGAACCTGCTTATATTTCAAACACTTGTGGCATAGAGTCAAGATTCACAGTAACATGAAGCCACAGATGAGTGGTGGATGGAGGTGCAACAGTTCCAAATTACCCCCTGTAGGACCAGAGGACTTGGACCTCAAATCATCACTTCTGGGCCCTTCAACTTCTACTGAACTTCTGCCAAGATGGAAAAAATCACTTCAGAAAGATGTTGGGGCTTTGAAAAGTAATATGGTTGCCTAGTGGCTGACCCACTAGAACAAATGCACACACCTATTTCTAGTTTTCACAATAGCAATACAGTAATGGACATGGATGGCATCAGGGACTGTGATGACAAGGACCACGAGCTATTTCCTATAGCGCAGACCTGAAGAAAAGACTCTTTCCAGTCAGAGAAAGGCTTGCATGGGTTCTGGGTTTGGACAGTGGTGGCATAGCTCAGAGTCTTAAAGTCCTAAACATACGTGACTTTGCTCTAATCATGATTGCTACAGGCCACCCGCTTCCCCCAGTTATGTTTGATACCTCTCAGATGACCCACCGACCTGAACACCCTCCTGATACCACTGCCACTCCACAGTGGGCTGGATTTTTCAAGATCGTAGTGACTGCGTACCCTGGCAGCACCTGTAGTGAAATGTTGGAACATAAAATGACAGCCCTCTTTCAAAACAGGCTGACAGTTTCTGACAAAGTTATGCATGCACCTACAATTTGACAACAATATAACCAAGGACATATGCAAGAAAAATTAAAACTTTATTGTACAGACAAAAGTGGTGCAGAAATGTTTATATAAAGTTTAAGAACATTCATAATTAATCATTGTTAAAAGGAAAATATTATTGAGCATGATGGGTCATTGTAACACAGTGTATTTCTATAAAAACAAGAGGAAAACAATATAAACATTCATGTAACATATTTAGCATGTCTCAGATTAGAAAATAAGACGTTGAAAGGAAAGTGCATAGTGTACTACTAAAGACCGACTATGGCTTTCCCACAATCCCCAAGGCCTTTTTCTTCTGTAGCTCCCGTATGCTCAGTGAGGCCTGAGGAGTAACGAAAGGTGTTGCCACTTTACATTCGTAAGACTTCTCTCCAATGTGAGATCTCTTATGAGTTGTGAGGTATGAGGACCGAATAAAGGCTTTGCCACATTCATTACATTTATAAGGCCTCTCTCCACTGTGAGCTCTTTTATGAATTGTGAGGTATGAGGACAACCTAAAGGCTTTACCACATTCCTCACATTCATAAGGCTGATCTACACTGTGACATCTCTTATGATTTCTGAGAGTTGAGAGTTGACTAAAGCCTTTGCCGCATTCATTACACTCATAAGGCCTTTCTCCACTGTGAGATCGCTTATGATTTCTGAGACTTGAAAGATGACTAAAAGCTTTGCCACATTCGTCACATTCATAAGGCCTCTTTCCACTGTGAGTTCTCTTGTGAACTGTGAGGCCTGAGGACAGACTAAAGGCTTTACCACATTCATTACATTCATAAGGCCTCTCTCCACTGTGAGTTCTCTTATGAGTCGTTAGATATGATGACCGATTAAAGGCTTTGCCACATTCATTACAATTGTAAGTCCTGTTTCCACTGTGTGATCTCCTATGCACTATGACGTGTGATGGCTGACTAAACGCTTTGTCACAAGTGTTATATTCATTAAGCCGTGCTCTACAATGAGATCTCTTATGAATTGTGAGGTCTGATGACTGAGTAAAGGTTTTACCACATTTATTACATCCATAAGACCTCTCTGCACTGTGAGACCTTTTATGAATTATGAGGTGTGATGATTGAATAAAGGCTTTGCCACATTCATTACATTCATAAGGTCTTTCTCCACTGTGAGTTCTCTTATGAACTATGAGCTGTGAAGACATATTAAAGGCTTTACCACATTCATTACATTCATGTGGTCTTTCTCCACTGTGAGATTTCTGATGATTTCTGAGAGTTGAGAGTTGCCTAAAAGATTTACCACATTCAGTACATTTAAAAGGTCTCTCTCCACTGTGAGTTCTCTTATGGTCTGTGAGGTTGGCGTACCTACTAAAGGCTTTACCACACTCATCACATTCATAAGGTCTCTCTCCACTGTGAGATCTGTTATGAACTGTGAGGTATGAGGACCGACTAAAGGTTTTGCCACATTTGTTACATTCATAAGGTCTCTCTCTACTGTGAATTCTCTTATGAATTGTGAGGTGTGATGACTGACAAAAGGCTTTGCCACATACATTACATATATGAGGCCTCTCTCCACTGTGAGATCTCTTATGAACTGAAAGGTCTGAGGACCGACTAAAGGCTTTACCACATACATTACATTCATAAGGCCTCTCTCCGCTGTGAGATCTCTTATGGTATATGAGACTTGAAGACTGACTAAAAGCTTTGCCACAATCTTTACATTCATATGGCCTCTCTCCACTGTGAGTCCTCATATGATTTATGAGGTTTGAGGACTGACTAAAGGCTTTGCCACAGTCTTTACATCCATAAGGCCTCTGTCCACTGTGAGTTCTCCTATGCTTTGTGAGGACTGAGGACTGACTAAAGGCTTTGCCACACTTGTTACATTCATAGCATTTCTTTCCTGTAAGCATTCTCACAGGAAAGTTTATGTTGGCTTCTCCACCTTTTTTAGACTGGTTGGCTTTGCATTCACGGTGAAATCTGTTGTGATGCTCTAGTGATAAAAGATTCTTGAAGAATTTTTCATACTGATGCTCTTCAAAGGAATATGTGTCCATAGGTTTTTTGAACACATAACTATATGGAATTTGGCTGAAGTTTTCTCCATATTTATTGTCTTCATTTCTTTTAAAAATGGTCTGTGCCACAAATTTTCTGTGAAAAATAGGCAGTTAAATAAATTCATCACCATTTTATCATTACTGCCGAGAGAAAGCTAGATTGTTTTCACTCTAAGTTGTTTCACATATCATAGATTAAATCATTGGAAGTAATGTTACCTTTATTATCACAGTAATAAAAATGTGAGACTTTCTGATAAATGGTTATATGTAGGACAGGTTTCAAACATTCAACATATGACTCACACTTACACAAATATTTTACAGAAAGTTCTGTAACACACAAAACTAGAGTTGGCTTTATAGACATAAGATGCCTAAGGAACCTCAGCAGCACTGTAGGATAAGCACTGAAATGCTCATCACAAGGCTGGTAGTTCAAAATCACCAACTGCTTCAAGGGTAAAAGGTGAGTGAGTCTTTTTACTCCTGTAAACATTTACAGTTTTGGAAACCCTATACAGGCTCATTAGGATTTGGAATTGACTCTACAGCAGTGGCAGATAAGACACCTAAGTGGCACAAAGTTCTGTGGTCTACTACTAAACTAAGGCGTCGTGGTGTGGCATTGTAGGATAAGCACTGGATTGGTAACTGCAAGGTCATCAGCTGAAACACATCAATGATTTATTCCCTGACCAGGTCTCTATAATTCACAATCGACTTGCCGAGAACATGAAGTAAATTCTGACTCACTGTGAACTTCAGGGCAGAGTAAAACTATATAGGGACTCTGAGCCTACAAAGCTTTCATACAAGCAAGCAGACAGCTTCATTTTTTTATCAAGGAGTAGATGGTAGGATTGATCCACTGAACTTTCATGTGTTCAGCCCAATGATCATGTGTATATGTACTACCATGACTTCATATGTATACACACATATATATATATATATATATATACACACACACATACACACACGCATACATGAAGAGGGCTTCAAACATTCTTGGAAAAATTGCATTATCATTTAGCTCCATTTTCCGACAAACTGCTTGAAGCTACTTCATATATACAGGGATTCTGCTGGGTGCAGTGGGTTAAACATTAAGCTGCTTACTGAAAGGTTAGTGGTTCAAATCCACCAGCTACACAGAAAACATAAGGTAGTTTGCTTCTGTAAAGATGCAGCCTTGGAAACCCTAAAGATCAGTTTTATTCTGTCCTAATGAGTCATTCCGAGTCAAAACAGACTCAACAGAAGTGGCTGGGTGTGTTAGGATGCTGTGTTGTTAATGGTGAGTGGATGATGTCCCGATAATGTATACATGAATAGACAATTCTGGCTAATAGTGGCCCAATGTGACAGACTAGAACTGTCCTACCAGGCGTTTTGGACAAGAGTCCATAAGCAGATGACAAGGAATGGCTAGCATGGAGTCACTGATGAGTTTGAACTGACAATCTTCTGGTTAGTAGTTAAGTACGGGGTCATTTGTGTCACCTGAACTCCTTACATTTATGGAAACATTAGAATGCCATGAGCCCTTCTTCAGACACTCACCTGACACGTGTGCTCGGGATGTTCTCCTGAACGTCAGTGCCATACACACTACCGAATTCTCGTACCATGGAGGGCCAGCTGTCATTGTCCATGAATTGTCCCATTATATCTTCAGTGGTAACGTTTTCTTGATTATTAACATTTTGAGAATCTGATCAAATCATTTAAATCCAGGTTCAGAGTACAAAATAAAAAGGAAAAACATTAGAGACAAAAGGTAACTGTGTGAGCAGAAAAGCTGTCATATTTCAATGTTTCAATACTTTGAAAGGATCGAAAAGCAATTTCCTAGGAAACACTTCCAATAAGACTGGGAATGAAAGTAGCAAAAATAGGGTGTAATTATATAAGTAACATAAAAATGTCTTGGATACAGGTTTGTAACATTAAAAGAAGAAAAGGGGCCAATCTTTCTCCATGAACATTGGAGACATTTTTATTGTAATCCAACGGATGCACTTCACACCTAGGTCAGCACCAAACACTATCAATAATATCGCATGCAAGTAAAATGTTGCTGATGACCATTTTAAAACGGATGTAACAGTACATCAACAGAGAATAGCCAGAAAGTAAAGCCAGATTCAGAAGAGGACAAAGAATAAGGGGTATAATGGCTGATGAAAGATGGACCTTGGTAGAAAGCAGAGACTACCAGAAAGATGTTTACCTGTGATTTATTGACTACACAAAGGCATATGATGGTGTGAATTATGACAAGCTATTGTCATGAATACACTTTACGAATAATGGGTATTCCAAGACATTTCATTGTGCTCACGAGGAACCTGGACATAGCCCAACAGGCAGTTCTATTAGAACAAGGAAATAGTGAATGGTTTAAAATCAGGAAAAATGTGTGCCAGGGTTGTATTCTTTCACCATACTTAATCTATATGCTGAGGAAATAATCTGAGAAGGTGGATTATATGAAGATCGTGGCATCAGGATTGGAGGAGGGCTCATTAACAACATCATGTATGCGGCTGCTACAACCTTGCTTGTTGGAAGTGATGAGAACTTAAAATACTTACTGATGAAAGTCAGAGACCACAGTCTTCAGTATGAGTTGCATCTCAATGTAAAGAATACAAAATATTGTCACAACTGGACCAATAAATATCCTCATGATAAATAGAGGATATTTATGTTGTCAAAGACTTCATTTTGCCTGGATCCACAATCAACACTCACAGAAGCAGCAGCCAAGAAATCAATCTATGTATTTCATTAGGCAAATCTGCTGCACAAGACTTTGCAGTTCATCCATTTTATAGTCAACAAGTCATGAATTTTGCTTCATTACAAGAACTGCAATCCTTTCCAAGTACCAACAGTTAACATTATTTACTTCTATTCACTTTAATGTTGCATGCATCCCTGTATTTTCCACTACCTTCATTTTTCCTCTGCTAACCCTGATCTTACTGTATACTGCCTGCCTTGTGACCCATGTTAATGTGTGTCTACCCTCTAGACTGAATAATTTTCCCTTCTCGTCTCGTAACCATAACAGATTGTTTCTTTTATCAATAAAACCTTTTACTTTTTTTTTATAACATTGGTCTTATACAATACTTATCCTATTGTGGCTCACTTATTTCACTTAATATAGTGTCCTCTACTTTCATCCACGTTGAGAGGTGTTTTGCAGATTCATCATTATTCTTCAATATTACAGATATTTCATTGTGTGTGTGTACCAATTTTGTTTAAAAATTCTTCTGCTGATGGGCATGGAGGTTATCTCCATCTTCTTAA